GATCTGAGGATCGCGGTTCAAAGCCAGCCCGGGCAGGAGAGACCGTGAGACTCCTATCTCCAATAAACCACCAGAAAACCAGAAGTGGCACTGTAGCTCAAGTGGTAGAGCGCTGGCCTTGAGCTGAAGAGCTGAGGGACAGCGCCCAGGCCCAGAGTTCAAGCCCCACGACCGACAAAAAAAAAAAAGCTCAGGTGGAAGGCGGAGCGGTTGCCAACATGCAGGCAGCCGACACAGGCACTGGAGACGCAGCCCCTGGCACCGACAGCCAACGTAACCAGAATAGCTGCTGCTGTCCTGGCAATCCTGGTTTAGTACAGGTTACAACCGGTGGAGGGCACCCTATTGCACGTGTATTACAAGACCAGGATTCAGACAAGAGACACTACGTCCTGCGCTGAAAGGCCTGGAGTCCAACCACCCATGTTCACCCTCAGCATGCCTTTCCCGACCCCTTTGGAAGCCGAAATTGCCCGTGGGGCCCTGGCCCCAGATGCTGAGCCCCACCAGGGAGCACTGGGGAAGGAGCTCACAGTGAGCGCGAGCACCGTGGCCGTACACTGGACAGCTGGAGACGCTCACCTGCTCCAGGCTTCCATCACCAGCTTCCTTGGACAGGTTGCCCTGGTCATGCAGACCATGCAGCGCGTTGGGCCCCCTGTTGCCCGGTAAAGGTGGACTGGGCAGCAGACCCAAGGTTGCAGCTTAGGTCCCCTTCGAAGCAATGCATCCTTACCTAGCACAGAGAGTCTAGAAGTACTTGTTACTTAAGGGTGACAACCTAATGGCTTCTCTTCATTGGCCCTTGTTTTGTTTGGGGTTTTAATGGTTGTTAACACAGGAAATAAAACTGAGTTACTGATCACAAAAGAAAACAAGCTCAAGCCATGGGCGCTGGTGGCTCACGCCTGTCATCCTAGCTACTCAGGAGGCTGAGCTCTGAGGATCACAGTTCAAAGCCAGATCGGGCAGGAAAGTCCCTGAGACTCTTATCTCCAATAAACCACTAGAAAACTGGAAGTGGCGCTGTGGCTCAGGCAGTAGAGTGCTCGCCTTGAGCTGAAGAGCACAGGGACAGCGCCCAAGCCCAGAGTTCAAGCCCCACGACCAATGGAGCCCCCACCGGCTCCCAGGCCACACCCCCTCCCCCTGGAGCCACTGTTCCCCCTACACACACCTGCTCCCAAGGTCACACCCATCCCCATGGAGCCACTGCCCAGCGTAGGTCCTCCCCTGCTTCCCCAAGTGACCATCGTGACATCTTTTGTCTGGAGCCGGAGAACCTTCCTGGGGCAGGAACATTATTCCAGTCCCTTCTCCCAATGTGTGTTTCCCTGGACATGAGTGGGTCTGCCCCCCCACCCCCCGGGGAGTTCCCAGGGAGGGCGCCCCAGGTCGGGAGGCTGTGCCTCCTTCAGGAGGGTAGAGGATTGGAGAAGGGCCTCGACAATAAAGGCGTGACCTGTGTGCACGTGGTGCAGTGCCGGCTGCGGCCAGCAGGGGGAGCCTCGGCGCACAGCCCCCCCCCCCGGGCTGCCATTGAGGCTGCAGCCTGCTTCAGGCTTTCTGGTGAACTTTGGGCTGGGAATCTGAGGGGAGAATATGGGGGGTTGTGGTTACCACAGGGGGAGGGATTGAACTCAGGGGGTCCCCTGCTGAGGGTCTTCCCTCAAAGGGGGCCAAGTGTTGTTAAAATAGGCCAAGTGTAGGCCTGGGCTCGGCCCTGTGGCCTAGGGGGCCGACTGAGGCTTGAGAAGCCAGGCCTTGCCTCTCCCTCCCCCCAGACTTCCGCCTTGGCTGTCACCAGCCCCTGGGGGAGCCGTTCTGGGCAGTCTCGTACCCTCAGAACCTGGCCTGGCCTCCTCCGCTGAGGCTGGAGTGGGGGCAGAAGTTTGGTCCCTCCGGCATTCCGTAGGTGGCCAGTGGGCCTGAGGCCTAGGTCTGGGCCTGGTTGGGCCAGGCGAGGGGCAGCTCTGGCCTGGAGCTGGTTTTCCAGTCAGGATGGGCTACGGGCAGGGGGGACGGGGAGCCGGGCAGGCCAGTCGGGGCCTGGGCAGGGTGTTCTATAGAGACTGGAACGGAGCCACAGGGGTGCTGCGAGCAAGGCATGACTGCCCAGGCACCGTCTGTTTCCCGAGTAGCTTGGCGGACATGGATGTATTCCAGAAGGTGGAGAAGATTGGCGAGGGCACCTACGGGGTGGTGTATAAAGCCAAGAACAGGGAGACTGGGCAGCTTGTGGCCCTCAAGAAGATCAGGCTGGACTTGTGAGTGCTGGCATGGAGGGAGGAGCCCCAGGCCTGGGCCCCCTGGCCATTCCCTTCGCTTCACTCTGCCTCTTTCCAAGTGCTCCCCTCACCACATTGGGGTGACCTTTATCTGTCCTTGTCCCAACCCCCTGCCCCCTCACCAGCCCTTAGCTTGGTGGGCAAGCAACCCTGTGGCCACAAGTAGCTCCTGCCCATGCCCAGTGCTCTTCTTTCTTTCTTTTTTGGTCGGTCATGGGGCTTGAGCTCTGGGCCTGGGCGCTGTCCCTCAGCTCTTCAGCTCAAGGCGAGAGCTCTACCACTTGAGCCACAGCACCATTTCTGGTGTTCTGAGTGGTTAATTGAAGATGAGAGTCTCACAGACTTTCCTGCCTGGGTTGGCTTTGAACCGAGATCCTCAGATATCAGCCTTCTGAATAGCTAGGATTACAGGCATGAGCCATCGGCACCCAGTCTTTCTTTCTTTCTTTTTTGATCAGTCATGGGCTTGAACTCTTGGGCCTAGGCGCTGTCCCTCAGCTCTTCAGCTCAAGGCAAGCCCCCTACCACTTGAGCCACAGCACCATTTCTGGTGTTCTGAGTGGTTAATTGAAGATGAGAGTCTCACATACTTTCCTGCCTGGGTTGGCTTTGAACCGAGATCCTCAGATATCAGCCTTCTGAATAGCTAGGATTACAGGCATGAGGCACCCAGCTCTTTTTCTTTCTTTCTTTCTTCCTTTCCTCCTTCCTTTCTTCCTTTCTTTCTTTTTCCTTTTCTTTCTCTTTTTGTTAGTCCTAGGGCTTGAACGCTGGGACTGGGCACTGTCTCTGAGCTCAAGGCTAGTGTGCTAACACTGTGCCACAGCGCCACTTCCAGTTTTCTGGTAGTTAGATTTAAGAGTTTCATGCCTGGGCTGGCTTTGTACACGATCTTCAGATCTCAGCCTCCTGAGTAGCTACGCTTATAGGTATGAGCCACTAGAGCCCAGCTTGTTCTTTCTTTTACTCCAGGGAGACAGAGGGGGTCCCCAGCACTGCCATCAGAGAGATCTCTCTGCTCAAAGAACTGAAGCACCCCAACATTGTGAGGTGAGCTGAGACAGGAAGTGGGGAAACTGGGGCCTGGGACATCCCGACCCGACCTGCATCTCCCCTGGCAGGCTGCTGGATGTGGTGCACAAGGAGAAGAAGCTGTACCTGGTGTTCGAGTTCCTCAGTCAGGACCTGAAGAAGTACATGGACTCCACCCCGGTCTCGGAGCTCCCCCTGCACTTAGTCAAGGTGCGCAGGAAAGGGCCGGAGGGCAAGGTGACACCCCTCCCCACCCTACCCCTGCCCACCACCATCTGCTTAGCGGCTCTGTCTCCGGCTTGTTTCTCCAGAGCTACCTTTTCCAGCTGCTGCAGGGGGTGAATTTCTGCCACTCGCATCGGGTTATCCACCGTGACCTAAAGCCCCAGAATCTGCTCATTAATGAGTTCGGAGCCATCAAACTGGCTGATTTTGGACTGGCTCGAGCCTTTGGGGTACCTCTGCGCACCTACACCCACGAGGTATCGGGGACCAGTGGGGAGAGTTGAAGGACGTCACCCACACATGCAACAACCCTGAATGATGCTGTTCTTTTCTTGGCCCTGCAGGTGGTGACACTGTGGTATCGAGCCCCCGAGATCCTCTTGGGCAGCAAATTTTATTCGACAGCTGTGGACATCTGGAGTATTGGTTGTATCTTTGCAGAAATGGTAAAGAGGGACAAGCTGGGTATGGGGGCGAGGGGGGGATCTCGTGGTAGAAGTCTTGACTAACCCTAATCAAGACCTTGCAACTCAATCCCCAGCATTGCAAAATCAAAACCAAAACAACAAGAGAAAAGTCTTTTATCTGGAGTGGTGTCCCAGCTGTCAGGAGGTGGATGCAGAAGGATTGCAAAATCTTGGCCATCTTAGGCTACATAGTACAACCCTTTCTCAAAAACAAACAAATGCCAGGTGTCAGTAATGCCTATAATCCTAGCTACTCAGGAAGCTGAGATCTGAGGATGGTGGTTTGAAGCCAGCCTGGGAAGAAAAGACTTTTATCTCCAGTTACCCATCAAAAGTCATGGAGCTGTGGCTCAAAGTAGTAGAGTGCTAGCTTTGATTAAAAAGAGCTCAGGGCCGGGCGCTGGTGGCTCACGCCTGTAATCCTAGCTTCTAAGGAGGCTGAGATCTGAGGATCATGGTTCAAAGCCAGGCAGGAGAGACCGTGAGACTCCTATCTCCAATAAACCACCAGAAAACTGGAAGTGGCGCTGTAACTCAAGTGGTAGAGCGCTGGCCTTGAGCTGAAGAGCTGAGGGACAGCGCCCAGACCCAGAGTTAGAGAACCTGCCTAGAAAGCAGGAAGCCCTCAGTTCAAATTCTAGTACCACCAAAATAAATAAATAAATAAATGCTAAGGATGAAACTCAGCGGTAGGGAGCTTGTCTAGAATGCCCCATTCCTGGCACAGTGGGAAACACTTGTAATCCCAGTTAGGCAGGAGATGCCACGCCCAGAGAAACAAATGCAAATCCCCATCTGAAAAATAACCAATGTGAAAAGGGCTAGGGGGTGTGACTCAAAGTACCCTGACTACAAATCCCAGTGCTGCATAAAAGAGGCGGGGCTACTGGGGCAGCCTGTGGAATGAGGGTTGTCTGGTACTGGCTAAAGGACTACAGAAGCCAGCCTTATTCCAGAAAAGACTAGACTATTCTAAGCGTAGTCCGGGATGGGCTACCTTGAACCATCCCTCTCGGTTGGCCACTTAACTGGTCCTGAGTTCAGTAATGACTAAGTGTTGCCCCCTCTCTTTTTCCTGTTTAGATGACGCGTAAAGTCCTGTTTCCCGGAGACTCTGAGATCGACCAGCTCTTTCACATCTTTCGAACCCTGGGGACACCCAATGAAACCACGTGGCCAGGCGTCACCCAGCTGCCTGACTATAAGAGCAGCTTCCCCAAGTGGCCCAGCAGGAGGCTGGAGGAGATTGTGCCCAATATGGAGCCCAAGGGCAAGGACCTGCTCATGGTAGGCACCGCGGGCACGGGCAGCCCCTCGCTCTAGTGGCTCCTCCAACCAGAGGACTTGCCTTGCCAGTCAGCCTCTTACGTAACACCCTCCAACTCCCGTCTCCTTCCTGACCCTTGAACACACTTGGCTTGTCCCTTTGTATATTGATTGTTCATTCTGGAAGCTCCTCAGGGGCCAAGTCCAATATTTATCTTCCCTGTTAGAACTCCTTTCTAGTTGGCCTTGTTTGTAGGCCACACCATTTATCCTTTTTTCCCCCTCTAGTTGTCTTGTGCCTCGGAACACCTCCCTATGGCCTTCATTGCCCTAGCTAAGTAGAATGAACCCTGGGATATGCTTCCCCAAACCTCCTCCTGCCTCGAGATCTCCCATAATGCCTTGCTTGGTGGTTGGCCCGCACATCATGTGGGCTATCCGGAGAGCACGTCCCTGCCGCCTGGACCCTTGTCACTGTCCTCATCCCCAGGCTGCCACAAAGCCTCAAGGAGTCAGCCATCCTCATCCACAAAGCCCTGGAGCAGTACTTCTTTTTCTTTTCTTTTCTTTGTGTGCCTATACTGGACTTGAACTCAGGGCCACATGCGCTCACTTGGCCGTTTCACTCTACCACGTGAATTACTTCCTGGTTTTCCCTGGTTGATTGGAGTTTAGAGTCTCACAGACTGTTCCTCCCCACCACCACCTCTGCCCCAGGCTGGCTTTGAACCATGAACTTCAGATCTCAGCCTTCTGAGTAGCTAGGATTACAGGCGTGAGACACCAGCCTGACTAGCATTTCTGTCTTCACTGCACTATTGGGCCAGGGGAAAGCTGGGTATGATTTTCATCCTTAGGCTGGTGTCTAGCATGCGCCAAACACTTGTGTGTGTGCTTTACCAACCCAATGCTGGCAGGATGACACATGCTTCCAGCCAGGCTCCTCGCCCTCCCCACGCTACTCTATGGCCGTGGGTCCTTCCCTCTCTCCCGGCTCTTGGGACGTGCAGTGTCCATCTCAAGTATGTACTCTAGACAGGCTTAGGGCCTGTCTCCTGACACCTGAGATATGTGTTTTTTCCCAGCACGTGGGACCTGTGGGACCCCCAGCAAGGAAGGGGGAGGACTGGGCTTTGGTTGTCTGAAGTGAATAAATCAGGGCTAGATCTGACCCTCTGTCCCCCGATTCTGGGAGTGCCTCAAAAGCCACTGGGGAGTCAGGCACCCGTAGCTCACTCCTATAATCCTAGCTACTCAGGAGGCTGAGAGCTGAGGTTTATGGTTCAAAGCCAGCTGTGCAGGCAAATCCAAGCGCCTCTTATTTCCAATTAATCAACATAAAGCTGGAAGTGGCACTGTGGCTCAAAGTGGTAGAGCACTAGCCTTGAACATAAAGAGCTGAGGACAGTACCCAGGCCCTGAGTTCAAGTCCCAGGATTGGTATGCATGTGTGTGCACGTGGGTACATGAGCGCGCGCGCGCGCGCGCGCGTACGCACACACACACACATACATACAGACACACACACACACATCACTGGGGGCAGTAACTTGGTACAGTTCCAGGTTTGAAGGCAGCCACCAGGGCTTGGGCTCTCTGTCTGGGACTGGGGATGCGACCAATTTCCCCAGGCCTCACCCAGCCTCGGCTTCTGCTTCCTTCCTTTCAGCAACTCCTGCAGTATGATCCGAGCCAACGGATCTCAGCCAAGATGGCTCTGGCCCATCCATACTTCCTGTCCACTGAGCCCTCCCAGGCTTCCCGCCATTGTGTGCTGGAGAATTTTTGCCGCTGAGCCTAGCACACGAGGCCCACCCATCACCTGAAAATGCTCTCCAGCCGCCTCCATCCACTTGTGGGAGAGAGCATCTCTAAGGAATTTTGCATCAGCCTTCTGAGGGCTGAGTTTGGGTTAGTCCTGCCAGCAGGTTAGCAAGTTTCTGTGTTGCTTGTTGAGTTTGAGGGTACAGTTTCAAAACAGGGGGCGCATACACGCCATACACAATGGAGTTAGATTTCTAGCCCCCTAGGCATTTTCGAATAACAGGTGCCAACTTGAATACAAGAAGCCTGCAGGATGCAGGCAAGGTATTCCTGACCCTGGGGAAAGGGTGCCCCCTGCTGGTCTTTTTTATTTCAAATGTTTGCAAGAAGAATTGAGTTTGAGTTTAGAAACTTAAACCAGAGGGCACTGAGAAGGGACAGGTAGTTCCCTGATTCCAGGTGAGGCCGGAGCATCAATGCCGCTTCTCAATCCTCGTTGAAGCTATGTTTTGTTTTACTTCCCTTTGACAATCTGGAAATAAATGTCACTTGTTCCTGCTTTTGCTGACATTGTCGTATTCATGGGGGACCCGTGGGCTTGCTAGGAGAGGGAGGGACTGGCTGGGAGAGTAATGACACTCGGAAAAGGTGGACGGGGAGGCCAGGGCTCTTCCCCATCCGTTTCCATGACCTTGCCACGTCCCTGCTCGAAATCCAAGGACCCACAGCCGCCCTCCAAAAACACCCCATTTCTCAGGCGGGCAGGCAAGCTGAGACGCTCCGCCACCATGAGTCACTGGCAGTCAGATCCAGACACCGCAAATGCAACTAAGACAGGGCACGGAGAGACTTCGTTTATTGGAAGCATGGCGGGTGGGGGCGGAGTGAGCTGAGCTGATCGCGTCTGGGGACGGATCAGGCACCAAAGTTGGAGAGGAAACCCAACACCACAAACACCTGAGTAACGGGCGATGGATGGGCAGAGGGAAGACTCGCCGCTGCGTCCCTCCCTCTTCCCCACAGCTTGGACCCCATCAGCGCACACAGGAGCGAGGGAGGCCTGGGGAGGCCACATGGTAGCAGCGGTACCCCTCCAGGGCCGCTGGGAGGAGCAGCAGGCCGCTGAGGGGGTCCTTGCGGCAGCGCGCCATGGCTTCCTTATAGCTCAGCCGTTCCTTGGAGATGGGGTCTGTCAAATCCTTCTCATAGCTAGCCTCCTCCTGCAGAAGCTCACCCAGGTCTTCGCTGATCATCCCAGAGAGCACGGCCTGAGGGACGGGGATGCGTCCGGTCCTCTTGGGGTCGATGAGCCCCCCGGTCAGGTGCTGCACCAGCAGGTGCGGGAGCACGCTCTCCTGGGGCATCCAGCCTTTCTGGATGGCCTCGCCCACCGACAGCCTCTTCTTGGTGACAGGATCCTCGATGCCGGTGAAGGCCTTTTGTGCATTGAGGAGCCTCTGCAGGGAGGTGTTCTCGATCAGCCCCCTCTCCAGGGCCTTGTGCACGGAGTAGCGCTCTCTGCTGAGAAGGTCCACGATGCCCCCTGTGGCCGCCTGGGCTTCCAGCAGCTTCTGCCCGGTGATGGGGTCCAGCATGTTCTTGGCGATGGCCGTCTTGATGGTGCACTTGTTATCAGTGGTTGTGTCGTAGACCCCGGCGATGGGGAAGCTGTCATCCGTGAGCCCCAGGGAGAGGCCTGAGAAGAAAGCGGTGCTCTGGGGGACCGGGGAGCAGAGCGGGGACTTGGAGATGATGGAGCCGATGGACAGCGAGGAGCTGGGCTTGGTCTCGCCGGCCACGAGCAGAGCAAACTCGGAGATGGGGAGGCGGCCGTCCTTGTACAGGTGGTACTCCTCCTTGGAGATGCGGCGGCTGCGGAGGGCGGACTCGATGGAGTACTGCTTCCCGCTCTTGCGGTCCAGCAGCACAGACTCCTCCGCACAGGGCCCCGACGTGGTGATTTCCTCCCAGTCGCATTCGAGCTCCTGCAGCTGCAGGTACTGGCCGCGGTCGATGATGCCTCTCTTATAGGCTTCGTAAGGGGACATGTCGTTTCCGGTCTCGGGTTCCAAAATGCAGATCTTGGTAGAAAGGTTGGTCTCCCTGGTCTGGGTCTCCTGGCTGAGCTCTTCTCGGCTCACCTTAGTGTGCAGATCCCGCAGGGTTCTCTCCTTCTGGTAGATCTGATCCTTCTCCTGTAGAATGGCCTCCTCCAGATGGGACAGCATCTGGCCTCTCTGGGCCGCCTTCTGCCGCTCGCTCTCTGTCTTCTGGCACAGCAGCTTGGCCTCCTCCTCCAGCCGCAGCACTTTCTGGTGCTTCTGCTGCTCTAACTCCCGCAGCTCCTGCTGCAGCCGCTCCCGCTCCTGGCTTGCCTGGTCCCGTGCATTCTGCAGCTCGGCCTCTTCCCGGGACCAGGTCCTCCCGAGGGCCTCGGCCCTGTCGATCCGCTCCTGAAGATGCCTCACCTTCTCCTCCCGGCCCTCCCGGGCTGCGCGCTCACGGTTCAGCGTCTCCCACACCCGGGCCCGCTCGCCCTCCAGCGCCTGGTCCTTTTCTACCCTGATCACTTCCTTGTAGATGGTCTTCTCGTGCGATTTGGTCTTTTGGAGGACGTCGATCTGGACCTGCAGGCTCTTGGACTCCCGGTGCAGCTCCTTCGCCAGGCTTTTCTCCTGGTCCAGGTCTCGCCGCAGGGCTTCCGTGGATCGCTCCAGGTCTGGGTCTTTCTCCAGCTTCACCACTTCCTCCAGGATGATCTTCTCCTGCACGGCAGGCGGCCGCGTCTCCAGCTCCTGGATCCTCAGCGTCAGCTGGCGGAGCTCCTTCTCAGCCGCCAGCTTCTTGCTCCGGTCCTCCTGGAAGCTGAGCAGGCCTTCCTTCTCCTCCACGCTGGCTCGCAGCTGTTGAACCTCGCGCTCCAGCTGCCTCCTCCGACCCACCTCCTCATCCAGGCTGCGGCTCAGCCGGCTGTGGTCCTCCCGTAGCTTTGGATCCTTCTGGGTGAGCACCACCTCCTGCACCACCACCTTCTCCTCGGGACGCCTTCTCTCCAGCAGCAGGTACTTGTTCTGCAGCTCAAACACCACATCCTCAGCAGCCCGCCTCTTCTGCGTGGCCTCGCGAACCTCCTGGCGGAGGCGCTCGGCCTCCTTTTCCAGCACGGGGTCCTTCTCCTGGCGCACCACCTCCTTCGTCACCATCTTGGTCTCCACCTTGGACCGTTCCCGCTTCCACTCATCGCGCTCTCCCCGCAGCCGGATGAGCTGCTCCTGGCAGCGCCCGCTGGCGTTGACCAGCTCGTTGAGCTGAGCCTTGAGGCGATCGATCTCTCGCAGCACCTCTGGGTTCTTCTCATGTCTCACCACCTCCTGGGTCACCTCCTTGTACTCCACCGTGGGCTTCTGCGCCCGCAGGACCGTCAGATCGGGCAGCAGCGCCTCCACTTCCCTCTCCACGCTGCTCCTGTTCTCAGCCGTCTCCTGCAGCTTGGTCCTGAGCCGGGCAATCTCCTGTTCTGTCTCTGGGTCCACCTGGAAGATCTCGCTCACTCGCTCCTGCAGCTGCACCCTCGGCTTCTGCTTCTCAACCACAGCGTATTTGTCCTGCAGGTCCCTCAGCTCCCTGGCCAGCGTCGCATTCTTGTTCCTCTCCTCCTCTAGGAGGCTCCGCAGCCTGGAGGACTCTTTGAGAAGGCTGGGATCCTGCTCTACCTTCTTGACCTCCTTTACGATGACCTTGGGCTCCACGGAGCTGATCATCTGCTCCAGATCTTTGATGCGAGCCTGGAGCTTGGCCGCAGCCTCCTCCGCCCCCTTCCTCCGGGCAGCGTCCTCCTCGATCTGCAGCCTCAGAGCCTGGGTGGCCTTGACCGTTTCCAGATCCTTTTCCACCTTGACCACTTCTTTCACCACCACCTTCTCCTGCACGCTCGCCTCCCTCTGCTCCAGGGCCAGCAGTTCCTTCTTCAGCGCCTCCAGCTGGGCCGATAGGACGGTGTTCTCCCCGCACAACTGCTGGATGTCTCTGTTCAGCCGGGTGGCCTGGCTGTCCAGGCCAGGGTCTCTCTCGATCTGGGTGATCTCCTTGGTCAGCAGGTGGGGCTGCAGGCTCTTCCTTTTGCTGTCCAGCTGAGCGACCTTCTGAGCCACCGCCTCTAGGTCTGCCTGCAGGCTGGCCCGCCTCTTGCCCTCCTCCTCCACCTGGGACTTCAGCCTGGCCACTCGGCTCTCCAGCTGGGGATCCCGGTAGAACTCCACTACTTCCTTCTCCTCCAGCCTCTCCACAGGCTGCTGCGTCTTCAGCTGCAGCAGCTGGTGCCTCTGCTCCTCCAGCTCGTACTGCACCTGAGCCACCCGCTTCCTCTCCTCCTCCAACTGGGACTGCAGGACCTCAGTCTTGCTCCCTGCTTGGACCGACCTCTCGGCCCCCTGCTTTGCATCATGGGACATCTGGATGTCCTCACTGAGTTCCTTCTGTAGAGTGAAAGGAGAAAGAATGTGGGGTAAGGGGAGGAAAGACTGGAGCTCTATTTTTTTCATTCACGATCCCTAAGCTCAAAGACCCTTCCTAGCTTCCTGAGATTTCCTGGTAGACCCCAGGAAGTGAAGCAGAGCTGAAGACTTGAGATTCCTAGATGCAGGATTTTGAGAGGATTCAGTTCATGCTATAATGTTAGGGTACAAAACAGGACTAGATAAGTCTATAATAGAGAGCACATGCAGATTCTCCATTCTGAATCTTCCTTTCCTCTTCCAGCAGGCTTCTGGACATGGGCCTGTCTGCTCTAGGGGGTGCTGAAATGTAGCAGAGACTAGAGAGGAGAGGGGAGAGAGACAGGGACAGAGAGAGGGAGAAGCTAGAAAGTCACCGGGAGCTCTGGAGGGCTCCTGGCTTCTGCTCTAGTAGGAATAGAGATCCAGGTAACTTGCTATCATTGTGGCCAGGCCCGAAGGCTAGGGCAGTGCTGGAGGACATCTCCAGGACTTGCCTAGGATTGGCACCAGTCTGTCAGAGCTGCTGGGGAGAGGAGCAAGCAGTGGCTGGGCCTGCCCAGGGATACAGGAAAGGATAAAGACATCCGAGCTGGGTGCCAGTGGCTCAGGCCTGTCATCCTAGCTACTCACGAGGCTGAGATCTGAGGATCACAGGTTCAAAGCCAGCCTGGGCAGGAAAGTCCGCGAGACTCTTCATCTCCAATGAACCACCAGAAAACTGGAAGAGGCGCTGTGGCTCAAGTAGTAGAGCGCTTGCCTTGAGCTGAAGAGCGCCCAGGCCAGCTGTGTGGGAACAGAACGTGTGTCATCACTGTACCTTCTCCAGCATCTTCTTAGCAAACTCCAGCTGGTGCAGCTGCTGCTGGCGGGCGGCTGCGGCCTCCGTGTAGGCCTTGGCAAGGCTCTTCTCCTGGGAAGGGCAACGTGGGGGACAGGGAGAGCAGAGTCAGCTCCTGTCTTGGAGGCTGTGGAGCTGGTGTGGGAGATGCTGAGCCCCCACCGAGGCCCAGCTCACCTGGGCTTGGATGCTGTCCTGCAGGGGGACCACTCGAGG